TGCTGAACATGCAGGAACATACACACTTTCTGCTATATATTCTGAGAGGACAATCTAAAAGGCCTATTTTTAAGTGACATGCTAAAGTTCTTATTTCAGGTCCATGATGATGTTCCTTGCAAGAAATTTCACAGGGGCTTTGCCCCCTCCCCACGTGGTAGCCCTCCAGAGCTGTGTGTGATGGCACCAAGGCTGTGTACAGGGAACTACAACCAAGATGACTGAAGCTGTAGGTGACTGATACCTTCAGAGCTGTCCTGGTGCTGGTAATGGATTAGAAATCCATAATGCTGGTTGTGAGCATTCACTGCTTCAGCCCAGTGGTTGTTTTTTATTTTTAAGATAATGTCAGTGGAATGCAAAGTCCAGACCCAGGCAGGTGGAGGGCAGGGGGATGATATTCCCATTCCAAATGCTGCTTAATTTTCTTCAGGAAGCCTTATATAGTTCAGTATTTTCATGAGTGTTTAGAATCATGGATTTTGATGCACAAGGGGAAATATTTCTGGCAGTGTGGCTCAGCTGAACCAAGACACAAGGAGTTTGATTCCTGTGTGTACCTTCAGCTTCACCAACGATGGCTGTGGAAAGGGTGAAGTGAAAGAGAAAAGGAACAGCTCTGTTGTGAAACCAGGGATGTGTGTGTGAAACCAAGGATGGGGATACAACAGCTTTGGAGGGTAGAAATTGGATAAAAGGAGCTCTTCTTGCCACATCCCTCAGAACCAGTTCCATTTCTCACAGGAGAGCTGGGCACATGGATTGGGCTGGGCTACAACCCTCTCTCAGTGAGTGCTGCTGCTGGGGATCACCACTCTGCCAAGGGATGGTTCTCCCCCAGGAGTGTGGTGGCCAAACCCTCCAGCCCACGTGGGAACAGACACTGTGTGTCTCCCTGGTGTAGCAGCAGGTCCTGTCCTCCCCCAGCATGTTTGCACTGAAAACATACTGGTTTGCCTACAGCTGAGGAAAGAGGCAGAAATAGCTACTCGGGTTTTACTGTTGGGTTTTTTGAGGTTTCTTTGGTCTTTTTTTTCTGTATTTTCTACTTTGTAGCTAATTGTCTATAACCACAATGCAATGAGGTTGGTTAGAGTCTCACAGGTAACTAGGGATAGACCAAGAATGGCCTCAAGCTTCTCCAGGGGAGGTTTAGACTGGACACTAGGAAGAACTTCTTCACTGAAAGGTTTGTCAGGTACTGGAGCATCCTGCCCAGGGGCTGGTGGAGTCATCATCCCTGGAGGTGCTTAAAAACATAGGTGTGGTGCCTGGGGATAGGGCTGAGAGGAGGATTTGGTAGAATATGGTAGAGTTGGGTTAATGGTTGGCCTTGATGATCTTGAAGGTCTTTTCCAGCCACAGTGATTCTATGGTGGTGGTGCTGAATGTCCCACAAGTGCTGTGGTCAGTCCTGGGCCTCCAGGCTGTAGAATGTGTTTGAAATGGGAGTGTTGGGTTAGACACACCTCACGTGGGACCAGCCCTGCTCTTCCACTTCTGGGGCAAACGTTCCTTTTGATTGCATTCCTGTGAACTGGTTGGGACCCATTTGGTGTCTGCTGACAAGCCAGTGGCCCACAGCCAAACTGTGCTGGGTCTGTTCCTTGGCTTCCCTCAGCCTGTGGGAGCTGCTGCCATGGCCTTCTTCCTAAACTTCATGGGGGTGCTTCTGTGAACAGGCACGTTCTCCTGTTCAGCACTGTTGTGCTTTGAAGCCAAACAGCACAGAATGGTTTGGGTTGGAAGGGAGCCTGGAGATCATCTCATCCAACCTCCCTGCCATGGGCAGGGACACCTCTCAGCTAGACCAGGTTGCTCAAGGCCTTGAACACCTCCAGGGAGGGGCAGCCACGGCCCCTCTGGGCAATCTAGTCCAGAGTCTGGCCACCCTCAGACTGAAGAACTTCCTAAGATCCAGTCTAAACCTGCTCTCCTCCAGTTTAAACCATTTCCCCTTGTCCTGTCACTGGACACTCCTGTGCCAAGTCCCTCTCCAGCCTTCCTGGAGGGTCCCTTCAGGTACTGGAGGCAGTTCTAAGGTCCCCCCAGAGTCTTCTCTTCTCCAGGCTGAACAACCCCAGTGCCCTCAGCCTGTCCTCTGAGTGGACTTTGTGACCATAATCAGAGGTCTCAAGCTTCTGTAGGTGGATGTTCCAGACATGGAAAAAAAATCAAATTTTAAAGGATTAACTCAGCCAAGGAGCCTTAATTTCCACTGGTGATGATGTGGCATTGTGTGCTGTGTGTCCTGTTCTGCTAGGACCTGGTTCCCTGGGGGGTCTAGGGTGATACCAGGTTTAGGTTCAAGTGTAGCTGTGGGCTGAGGGCTTGGCTTGCTGAAGCCCACAAAAGAAATGGCTCAACTGGCACATTGTAGAGGAGGCCCCAAGTCACTGTGCACCCCCAGGGCAGCACTGCTGCCTGCAGTGGGGCATCTCTCCAGCCACTGCAGCAAGGTGACAGGTCCACACCCCTGTGTCATGAGCATCACTCCCAGATCCTGCTGGTGCTTGAGAATGAGTCTAACAATGCTCTGGCCAAGCTCAGCTTGTTACTGTGGGGGCTGTTGTAGAAGGCTGAGCAGCTTTAGGTAGCCCTAGAGGGATCCTGATGCTTTGTGAGCTGATGTGGTGGTGGTGGTGGTGCCACGCAGAAGTTGCTCCTGCTCTCCTCAGCTGCCTGGGTGTCTCACTGCAGTGGATTTTCAGTGCTGCTGTCCCTCTTTCTGCTCCTCACAGATCAACCCCCTGTCCTACGGCAGCGTGGTGCAGACCTACAGGCTGCCAACCTACAGCTGCTACCCAAAGGACTCCTGGACATCCCTCTGCAAGAAGCTGTTCCTTGGAGAGCTGATCTACCCTTGGAAACACAAAGGAGAGAAGCAGGACTGAACAACAGCAAAAAAGCTGGAGAGACTTGGTTGGGAAACCCTATTTAATTCTGCTGCTTTTGGACCAAAGGCCTCTCAGAGCCAGCAACCACTAGATCCCTCTAATTAGATTTTGGTAACGTGGCAGGGGCTGAATTTTTAAAGGCAAGTATTTTTAAATGTTATTTTTCCACTTTCCTCTTGCCCTGCACTGTGTTTGTGTCATACATTAATGATTCCTTTTGAAGCAAAAGGTCAAACCCATCAGTGCCTCATGAAACCAGCATTTAGTGTAATCAAGAAAGCACCTCCTAAATGGGCTCATGAGATATATGTGTGTGTATATATATAAAAAATATAGAATATATATCTATATCCTTCCAGGTCAGCTCACAGGGCCATGTGGAATCAGCCTTTTGGGTGGTGCAGAGCCACAACACTGAGGTGCATCTGCCAAAGGGTGTTTTGGACCTTTTATGCTTCAGCCTTCAGTCCAGCTGATCAAAGCCAGGGTGGAGGAGCAGCTTGTAGAGGCTGTGCTGAAAACTGGACAGTGAGGTTCTCTGGGTTTGTAGGGTATTTATTCTTTTCCATTTTGGGGGGATGTGGATTCACCCCCAGTGCCACACCAGAGGAGGTGGGAAGCATGGACACAGCAGGGCTGCAGGCCCAGAAACACAGACTGCTGCCTATTTGTGTGTGTGTGGTCTCATCTACCTCTCTTCAAAAGCAAACAGTGTTTTGGGGGGAGCTGAGCCCTGAGCTGACAGCAGGACAGAGGTGCTGAGCACACAGCCTCAGGCTGCTGAGGTGGAGGTGGCAGCAGGCTGTGGTGGCTGAGAGCTCTGGGCTCTGCCCAGGCCTGGGGCTTCTTCATGGAGTTGTGGGGTGAGGCCAAGGCAGCTTTGCTGAGCCCAGCTCTGGCTGGGGGGTCTGCCAGGGCACTGCTCCAGCCTGGCTGGTCACACAGCTCAGGGGAGGGCTCAGTACCTCCCCCTGTTTCTCAGGGCCCAGGGGAGAACCTCGCCATGTGGTGCCTCATCTTCTGCACTTTCTGGCAGTCAAGGAGCTTTTAAAGTTATCTCAGCCAGGAGGCATGGAAAGCCACTTCTCTCCATGAAACTATAGCCAGGTTTCTCTGAGGAGGTTTTCCTTCTTTGGGTCCTACCTCCACAGTGCAGCAGCATTGAGCTCTTCAGTGTCCTGGGCTGATTGTGTGAGCCTGCTAGTCCCTGTCCTGGGGACAGTGCCTCTGAGAGCACAAGCACAGTGTCCCACTGGGTGCTTTGTTGCTGTGTAGACATCTACATGCAGTCGTGACCCAAAACTACACTTTCTGCAGGTCTGCTGGCTCCTCCTGCCCCAGCTGCAGCAGGGATGTGGTACCTCTGTACCCTGCTGCTGCTCTGCCTGCCCAAAGGGACTGTGCTGGCCAGCAGTGAGAGCTGTGCTGGGTCCTGTCCCCTGCTCTGTCTGCCCAGGGCACCAAGGGTGGAGGAGGAAGAGGAGGATGTGTTGGAGTCCTTCTCTGGAGGGCTGCTGGTGTGTTCCAGTGAGAGCAAGGCCAGGAGCCATGGCAAGGTGCCCTGGGCTTTAGTAGCCTTCAGGCAGCACTTCCACTGGCTGGGTGAGAGTTTCCTACCCCAGCCCCACGTCTCAGCCATGTGCATGTGCTGTGACACAGGAGAAGGGCTTAATGGCCCCACTGCTTTAAGGTATCCCCATCCAAGATAGATTTGGGTGGCCTGGAGGTGCCAGAAGCCCCTCCTGGTGCAGCCATTGCCTCTCCAGTCACAGCTTGGGCAGGAGAAGATGAAGCTCTGCAGGCAGGTGCTTGGTCCAGGTGTTGTTTTGCAAGCAGAGGAGCTGCCAAGGTCTCACAGTTTTGTGAGGACATCATGAAGGGAGGCAGCACCACAGGGGCACTGCTGCCCAAAGAAGATGTCCTGGTGCCTTGACCCAGGGACAAAGGCACACCACTGAAGAAAGCCAGTGTGGCAGAAGCCCCACCACAGGCTCTGGGGTGGACATCACTGGCTGCAGAAACTGGAGAGAACTTTGTTCCTCTGTGATGATCAGTGCTCAAAACTCATGTACAAGCACAGTACCTTCTTCTCTTGGGATATCCCTGCCCGAGCCTTGTCTCCACTCCAGGTGTGAGTGGCCCCAGGTTGTGGGTGCATGGTTTCAGTCCTGTTTCTCAACTCAGACTCGTGGAGACCAGCCCTAACCTGGCACCCAGCAGAGCACATTTACCCTCTGCCCCCCTCTCACGTTTCCACTGGAGCTACTCAGCCCTGTCCCCCTGCTCCCTCCCACGCCTGCATAGCTGGCTTGTCTGGCTGCTGGGAAAAGCTTTATTATTTTGGGTCTGGTGAAAATAATGTTCCTGGGGTTTAAAATCTTTCTGTGAGACCAGACAGCTCACAGTGGTCCTAATTGTGGCTGTCCTTTGGGATGGAGTGACCTGAAAGCCCCAGGGACAGCACAGAGCCACGAAAACCAGCAAATGTGACCTTCCTCTTGGGGACCTGCCAAACACATTAGATGTTCCAGTGCTTGGTCTGTTTACTAAAGGCTGATAGTGACTCCAGGGATGATGAAATACCAAACTGAGGAGAAGCTCCTCTTCAAACCCTGGAGCCTGAATCTTCTGTGATTCTGGGTGGCCCAGCTGGGAGGTGACAGCCCCTCGTGGGTGCAGTTCTCCTGTGCTGGGCACAGCTGGTGCTTGGGCTGTCTGGCTCTTTCTCATCCTCAGCATTCTCCTTGCTCGTGATGGTGCCTGAGCCTCTGAGTTTCTTCTGCTGGATATCTGCCACGTCTCTCCTCTTCCTTTCCAGCCACTGCTGACTCTTCCCCCACCCTCTTCCCATTCTGCGCAGAGACATTTCAACAACTTAGCAGACATCCTGCCCAGGAACACTGGACCTGATGTCATCTCTCTAATTAGAAGCTGGGATCAGCATCATCTTCCACAGCAATGCAGACTGGCCTAGTGCTGGCATTTCCTCAGGGAAGAGCCTGCTCCTGAGGTTATGGCTCCAGCTTATCCTCAGATCCATGTTTCCAGTCCTCAGATGAGAAGTAAGGGTTTCAGATCTTCTTCCAACCACACACCCCTTAGGGCAGGCAACGAGCAGTCTCCAGCAGCCCTCCTTCAAGGACTGTAACCTCACAGATTTTTGCAGCACTGCATTGCCTGATGATGATGATGATTTCTCCCAGTGCTGGCCCAGCCCTCGCTGTGGCTCTTTACGCAGGCCTGGGGTTTGTGGGGGAGAAGGTGATTCACTACACACAAAGCTCCATCCTAGACAGAAGCTGTGCCTTTGAGAAAGACTTTCCTCTCCTGACCAGAGCAGCACGTGGTGCTGCTGAAGGGAAATCTCAGTAATTACACTCTGCTGAAGGCTCTGGGTGTGGGTTTGGGAGTTTCCCCTCATGCTGCAGCTGGCCTGGGCCTTGTTCTGCTGCCACACGTGGACACACCGTTGCACGTGTGTTTAGTCACACGTTGCCTTACACTCTCAGGTGTGTAAGGCAGGAGAATCTCCTGCTTTGTCATCTGGCAGGTAATGAGCTGCTTTCCTGCAGCCCTGTGCTGCCTGGTCCCACTGCCACAAAACCATCTTCCTGCCTCACTCAAGCCCTTACTGCTTTACTCCCTGTGCTTAGACCTGCTGGTTACACCGTCACAGAATCACACCCTGGGGGAGGTTGGAAGGGGTGGCCCAGGATCATCTGATCAACCCCCCTGCTCAAGCTGGGCCACCCAAAGCTGGTTGCCCAGGACCATGTCCAGATGGCTTTTGAGTATCTCCAAGGATGGAGAGTCCACCAGCCCCTCAGACAGCCTCTGAGGTCACCCTGACAGTCGGGTGTTCCCTGCTCCTCAGGCAGAACTGGATGTGTTTCAGTTCATGCCCGCTGCCTCTTGACCTGTCCTGGTGTTACACGTGGAGCAGAGACCCCTCAGCTGGCAGCCTGGGCCAGGGAGCCTCTTTGTGCATCCTCACCCACATCTGGGCCTGGACCTCAACCCAAGGATGCCCAAACTCCCCATTTATTTTCTCAGCAAGGTAAATTAGAGCAGGGTGCGTGCAGTGAGGAGTGCTGCAGGGGACAGGACGTGACCCCTCAGTGCCCAGAGGGGTGACAGGGCTGAGGAGCAGGCAGGAGGGTTGGGGCTGGGCTGATTGTGTCCCCCCTGGGGCACTGCTGGAGCATCTGGCATTGGGGAAATCCCTGACAACTTCACCACTGTTGTAATCAATCCTCCTGCTTACAGTGTTTTCTGTTTTTAAATACAGAGTTGTAAAAGAGCGACTGAAACCTTTCCTGTTCAATTAGAAGTGGAGCTGGAGGAGGCAGTTTGGACGTGCTGGTTCCCAAAGTGCTGGTGCATTGTCTCTGTGCATTGTCTCAACCCCCAGGCGTTCAGCAGGAGCAAAGTGCACACATAGTAGCCACTCACTGTTTTAGAACGTCCCCATTCAAAGGTGACCTGCCCAGGCTCTGCGTGTGTGGTTGTGGGTGCTGGCATCTGAGAGGTTAGGGATGAAGGTCTTTGTTCTCCTGACTAGTGTGGATTCTTTTGTGAATTAAATCATAGAATCGTTAAGGTTGGAAAAGACCTCTGAGATCATCGAGTCCAACCATCGACACAACGTAGTGTTGGGTTGGCCACTAAACCATGTCCTGAAGTAGCAGGTCCACACGTTTTCTGCACACCTCCACGGCTGG